GCAAGTTTATCTAGACCAGTGTCTTATGATGTTGAGAAGTGTTTTCTAAAAGAACAAGGTAGCTGTCCTCTATGGGACTGACCACACAGGGCCTGAGATTATTAGGTGTGCTCTTTTAGTTGCAAGGGACAAAGACACTCAGATTACCTTTGTGACAAGTGATTCTGATGAAGATGTGTGTGACAGTCAAAGAGGAAAGAGTCCCCAGTGAGCTGGTCCTCAGGGGGCCACAGGGAGGGAACATTGTTCCCGGTATACAAAGTGCTACCAAACCTCTGCCTACAGCTGCAGCTCCAAGACCTGGGCCTCTTGTTCTCTCCTCATCAGGGATCTTTGCTTATTATTCTAGTGTTCTACTTTCTGTCCCTGAGCTGGTTGTTTCTTCTTCTTTTTTTTATTTTGTTCCCCTTCCCCCCAGCTATCTTCCCTTCCATTATGGTTTATTTTCACTCTCTGAAAGAGTCTTTATTTAGGTTGTCCTGGCATTGATTGAGAAAAAAAATTTAAAATATATATCTTATTGATTTCAAAAAGGGAGAGGGAGAAAGAGAAAGAAACATCAATGATGAGAGAGAATAATTTATCAGCTGCCTCCTACATGCCTCCCACCGGGGTTCAAGCCTGCAATCTGGGCATGTGCCCTGACTAGAAATTGAACCATGACCTCCAGGTTTATAGTCACTGCTCAATTACTGAGCCAAACCAGCTGGGCAGAGTGAGAAAACTTTCAGCTCAATTAACAGAAAACCAAATTGGCTTTGACTAATAGGACTTTATTTTTTGTCCTATATAAGAGTCTAGAACAGTAGTCGGTAAACTCATTAGTCAACAGAGCCAAATATCAACAGTACGATTGAAATTTCTATTGAGAGCCAAAATTTTTAAACTTAAACTACATAAATAGGTACATTGTTATTCACTTAATTAGAATACCCCTAAGCTTGCCTTTGCTAAAAACTCAAGGGGCCCAAGAGCCGCATGTGGCTCTCGAGCCGCAGTTTGCCGACCATTGTGCTAGAGGTAGGTTGTTGCAGATATTGGTTCAACTGCTCAATGCTAATATTAGCACCTTGGTTGCAAGATGGCTGCTGCAGATCCAGGCAGCATGTGCCTACATTTAGGGCAGCAAGATTAGAAAAGGGGCAAGGCCAACACCCTCTCCTGTTGCATCTGTAGCATGAGTATGCACGCACACAGGAAGACGCCTGCTTCGGCTCATTGACGGGAACTGTGTCATATGACTATGCTTAACTGCTGTGATTATTGGGCAAGTGAGTATTGAGCTTTTAGAGTCTCTATAGTAGGAAGGTAGCAAGATAGAAGGACATTGAGAAAGGTTATTAGCAGTCAGCTAATGAAAAATGTCTGTCACTGTCACTAACTTGCATGTGGCATCTATCTTAGGTAGTGCTTATATATAAGCCATCTACTAGGAGATGTTTTGTAAAATATTAAGTATTTACTCAATATTAATGGAATGATAGGCACTTGTCTAGGTGCAGTTGTTCTCTTTGGTAATGCTTACCAATAATTTTAGTAGTTATATATTTGTGAATAATAAGTGCTATGGCAAAAACATAGCTAAGAAAGGGACAGTGTGGAGACATGGATAGTGTGAGAGGGCAGGAGAGAATTGGCTGTAAGTTACAGAATGTTAGAATTTAGTACTAAATGCCACAAACTTGCCTTGCTTTAAAGGCAAACTGGCAGACATTTCTGTTCTAGAGAAGAGGGGAAGGAATTGCTCAGCACCAGGAGACAAGTGTCCAGTTTTCACTGCACAACCAGTCTCTATTCTCTTTCAAATAGTTGGCCTATAAACTTCCTTTCTCTAGGCTGTGCTTAATGTAAACTTCAAACTTCTGAGCACCACTTCAGTTTGCACTTGGCCTTGGTATCATCCATCCCATATTGGTTCTCTTAGTTTTTAAAAACTCACCAGAGGATATAGTAGGACTAACATATACTTGGATATTCTTAGGCATTAGGCATTAGATTTTTACCAAGGAAAGGCACTGCCCATTTTACTTCTGTGTGGCTATATAAGATCTATACGTTGAATTTTTAAGTTTATTTTACTGATCATCCTCCTACCTGTCTTACTAACTTGTGACCCCGCTCCCCCAACCTGGCTTTATCTAGGCTAATTCTCCTTTATCTTTCACCTTATAATAAATTATAGCTGCCTTAAGAAACAATTTTCTTAAAACTTAGACTAGCTAAGTCTCTGTTTATGCTCCTGTAAATCCATTGCTCTCTTTGATAATGATTGCCATAATTTCAGTACTTATTTGTGTAATAGTTTGATTAATGCTTAGGTTTTTTGTTAGTTTTTTAAAAATTGATTTCAGAGAAGAAGGGAGAGGGACAGAGGGATAGAAACATCCATGATGAGAGAGAATCATGGATTGGCTGCTCGCAACCCAGGCATGTGCCCTTTACTGGAATCAAACCCAGGACTTCAGTCCATAGGCCAATGCTTTGTCCACTGAGCTAAGCCAGCTAAGGATGATTAATGCTGGCTTAATCCTGTAGTAGACTATAAGTGCTATGAGGGCAGGGGCCATATCTGCCTTGCTCAAGTCTATACCTCACTGTGCAGCAGTGCTGGACATACGCAGTGGCATTCAATAATATTAGTGAGCTAATCAATATATTCAGTCTACAAGTGACTAGCACAGTGCCTCAAAAGGCTAGTCCTCTATGGTAGACACTGATTGTGAAGCTCGGCCCAATCCCCCTTCAGGAATAGAAGACTTAGCCCCATCTGCTCCCTAGTCCTGGCAGAAACCCTCAATTCTCAGCATTCTTTGAAGAAGCCTCAGTTAAAGAAATGGACAGTCATTGGTTTGCATCCAGTTGAAGGCCCAGCCATTCATCTCAACTCAAGATACCTTTAAAAGGCCATCCCAGACCCAAGCCGTCTCTGAAGACTTTGTTGTTGCAATGGCTTTTCAGATCAGCTTCTCCCTCTGCTCACTTCCCTTTCACAGGGATTGATTCTAAGACCATACAAGAGCATGTCTTGCATGCTAATCTCCCTGTCAGATTCTACTTCCTGGGTAATGCAACCAGTGATGGCTATCACAGAATTGTTTACTGAACTGAACATTATGTTCTGTTCTATTCCATAGACTCCTAAACAGCAAAGATCAGTTCTTATTTATCTGTACATCTTTACGGTGACTAGAAGGTCCCTGTCCTATAGTGAGTGCTATGTCCACCCAAAATTTACATGTTGAAATTCTCACTCTTGAAGGTATGATATAAGGAGGTTGGGCCTTTGAGAGGTGCTTACGTCACAAGGGTAGATCCCTCATGAATGGGATTAGTGCCCTTATACAACAGGTTTCGGAGAGATCCCTACTTCTTCCACCATGTGAGGTTGCAAGAAGTCTGTTACCCAGAAGAGAGCCCTCAGTGGTCCACAATGGCACCCTCGCCTCAGACTTCCCATTTTCAGAACTGAGGGGGGGGAATAAGCCATGCCATAGTATTATAGCAGCCTGAATGTACTAAGGTAGTGTCATCATAAACACATCAAACAAAATACTCCCCAAAATGCAGACTAGATGGAGCTAAAGCACATGTGTCAAACACAAGGCCCGCGGGCCAAATCCGTCCCGCCAGGCCTTGCAATGTGGCCCGCACTGCGCTGTCATCACTGCACTCCGCGGCGTTTCCATCACAATGACAGTTTATGACTGTTCAGCAAACCATTCGGCCTGCGATTTAGGCTGGATTTTAGATTTTGGCCCCTTCTCTGATTGAGTTCGACACCCCTAAGCTAAAGCCATCCTATTCAAAGTGTGGCCTGAGAGCCAGTGGCATTGGCATTCCCTGAGTATCTCATTAGAAATATAACATCTCAAGCTCCAACCTGAACCAGACCTACTGAACTTGAATCTGCATTATAACAAGCCCCCCCCTCACCCTAGGTGATTCACCTGTACTTTGAAGTTGGAGACATACTGAGCGAAGGGATTTTATTCGTATAAATAATATGATCTAGCTAGTAATTCCTCTCAAGTTTGTACACTATTTTCATATGGTTTTCCTCTAAAACTTAGCTTAACTGTAGTGTAATCATGTATTCTTCCGGTCAACAAATACTTATTGAGTGCCAAAGGTTTCAGCCCTATGGGGTTTGAGAAAATAAACAACAATATGCATATTGCAGAATGTGGGATGAAAGTGCTAAGTGCCATGAAAATATAGGTCAAGATAAAAAGAAGGGAAGGTGGGCTGAAATTTCAAATTTTTGCATGATAAGCAGAGACTTGAAATAGGTAAGGTAATTAGCTTTATGGATACCCCATGTGGCTGTAGTGAGATGGGACAAGCAGATGTGAAAGCAGGTAGATCTCATGATGAGAGGCTATTTAATAAATTGATATTTGATACTTAATTGCTGAAAAAAGTAATACAAGCTATTTTCCCCTCAAGCACAGTGTATTTTCTTAGCCAATCCAAATCGATTGGGCTGTGGAAGTTTCCATAAAACATTTCACCAGCGACGCTTCAGATTCCTCAAATACAAATGTAGGGATTAGCGAGAGGGCACTTAAGGGCTGTTTTTGTTCTACACTCTTAAGTTACCAGATGCCTTGAGGGCCAGTCGAACAGGGGCAGTTGACAGTGACGTGTCTGGGTGGCGGCCTAACGAGGGCAAAGCTTTCAACCCCAGGATACTGAGAAAATAGGAAGTGGGCTCATGGGAGGTGGTGCCAAGCATAAAAAGAAACACAACAACCAACAGTAACCATTGCACCCAAGTTCCTCAGAAACCCCTGCACCCAGGTTGCGACTCCAGACTGTCCTGACCCTAACGCCTTGACACCTCGACATCATCATCGGCCTCTCCTTGCCTATTCGTCCCAATTCGGCTTCCCAGCCCTGGATCCAACCAGCCTCTCAGCTCACGGCCTGGCCCCGCCCAGCTCCCTAGCCACGCCCCTGACACGCCCCCAGGCCTGGCCCCGCCTCCCGATCTAATCTCGCACTGTCCACTCGCCGCCTCCCAGAGCTCCCGGCCGCGGGGGCGGAAGTGAGGCGAGGCCCGGGCAGCGGGGCCGGCGGGAGACACCGCAGCCGCTCGGGGCCGCTCCCCGTCCGCCCGCAGCAGCATGGCCCTCCTCCTCCTCCTCCTCGTCGCCCTCACCACGCAGGCCGCGAGCTGGGCGGAGAGCAGCGCTGCGGAGCCGGAGCCGTCCTCGGGTACTGCGGGTCGCGGCCGGGTGGCTGGCGGGTGGAGGCGGGAGGAGGGGAGGGAGGAGGCCGCGGCGGCCGGGAAGCCCCGCCGGGAGGGGCCTCGCCGCAGCCGCCCGGGGCGGCCGGTTCTCGGACGCTCTGGGCGTCGGGCCGCTGCGGGGGTGGGGGCGGCGGTGGGGAAGGCGACTCGGGTTTCTGCGGTTTGCACACCTCGGTTGGTTCCCTTTCTCTCACCACCTCCGCTGTTACCAAATAACAAAGCCCGCCTCCCTCTCACGTCCTGAGTTCTTCTCATTCATTTTTGACATGAAGTGAAGTTTCCCTGGCCTGCATTTGTAAACCGGCCACAGGTCCTGACTGTCTAACAGGGCACCCCCCCCTTGGTGCGGACCCCAAAGCCTCCGGAAGGGAGCGGAGTTGTTCTTTGCCTGGGAGGGGCGCCGGGTGGGCCCTGCTGCCAGATTGGCTCCCGGGAGGTCTCTACGCCGGGAGCCTTTGACTTCCGCCTGCTCCTTGGCATTTCCCGGGAAACGCGCCTGAGGAACGCCTTTTCCAGGGCTGGGTGTCATGGCCACTCGGAACGCGGATGCGATCGATCAAGCAGGCTTATCCTTCGTCTGCAAGGGGGATAACCTTCAATGATCGGGAACCCGTTAGTCTTGAGGGTCTCCTTCCTGTCCACAGCCAGCGCCGGCCTGGGAGGGGTCAGGGAAGCCCAGCCTCCCTCCCTCATCAGCCTTGGCAAAACTCGTGGTCTGGAAGCGTTTGTTCTGTGACTTCCTCCTCGAGCTCCCGTTAGGCTTGTGCTGCGTTCCTATCAGCTCTCCTCCTTAGGCTTGTTCTTTAAAAGTCAAGCAAACAAATACGTCATATTCGTTGGGACCGACCTTGTTGGGAATACAAAAAACAAAGGGGGAGGGGGGAGTTAGTTTCTGTTTTTTTCAAGGATCATGATTTTTGTAGCTAACAGGTATTAAGCGCTAGGCACTGTTGTCAAATTCTCATCACATTTTGATTTCACAGCAACCCCATAAAGCCGGCGCTCTAGGTATCTCCATTTATGGGTGAGAAATTGAGGCACAGAGCGGTCTGCCCAGTTTGTAGAGAGGCTGCTGAAACTCAGTGGGGAACCTGGCCATTGGGCTCCAGACTCCCAAGTTTTTTGTGTGTTTTTTTTTAATTAGTAATTTATTGGGCTGACAAAGGTTAATAAAGTTATATAGGTTTCAGATGTACAATTCTACAAAACATTATCTGTACTAGAGGCCCGTTGCACGAAGATTTGTGCAATAGCCCTTCCTTACCCTGGCTGCCAGCACCAGTTTCGCTGTGGCTGGAGCGGAGAAGCCAAGCCTCTTCATGCAAATTAACCCACCACCTTTGTTGGGTTAATTTGCATACCAACTCTTGATTGGCTGGTGGGTGCCATGGAGGTATGGTCATTTTTGCATATTTCTCTTTTATTAGTGTAGATTGTGTGTTCATTCCCACCAAGTTATGTGTCCTTCCATCACCATTTATCCTCCTCTATCTTCTCCCTCCCCCGTTTCCCTTTGGCGATCATCATATTGTCAAAGTATGTGGTATGTTTGTTGCTACTGCTGCTTTTGCTTAATCCCTTCACCTTCTTCACTCAACCCCCCCTCCCCAACCTCCTTCCTCTCTTGACAGCTTTGTTAGTTTATTTTGTTCATTAGATTCCATATATATTCTGCAAACTATCATTACTAGAGCAAGTTAGTCATACACAGAGGAAGCTGTAATACATTACAAGAAGAGCTTGAACTTACTGCTCTGGCTGCCGGAAAGCAACATGTGGTTACCTGGCTCTGACCAGGGAGTTAGGAAAGATGAGAAGATGACTCCAGAATTGGAACTGGAGATGCAGAGACAGTTGTGTGTGCAGAGTAAGACGCATGAAACAGCATGTTGAATTAGTGGACTATTAAGCATTTTATTTTAAAATATGTGTGTGAGGATACAAGAAGAGATAGGATGAGTGGAGAAGTAGGAACTAATTAATAAAGTGCTTTGGGATGGTTGTGTGTAACAGCAAAGGATAGACACACAGTTTTGCCCGACTTGGGCAAAAAGAGGAATTGATCATTTCCAAGCATCTAAGCTAGAGTTAAATAGAAAGGTGGGCCTCAGAAAGCTGGGCCAGAAAGTCAAACTGCCAAGACTCTCCATTTCTTAATTCTCAGTGTTGACCACTTTCCCTAGTTAGCAGGAATCATAGATGTCGACAGCTTTTCGGTTTTGACAGTTTGCAGCTTCCTCTAACCCCATGGTCAGCAACTGTGGCTCGAGAGCCACATGCGTCTCTTTGGCCCCTTGATTGTGGCTCTTCCACAAAATACCATGGCCTGGGTGAATCTATTGTATTTTGAAGAAGTGGCATTAGAAGAAGTTTAAGTTTAAAAATTTGGCTCTCAAAAGAAATTTCAATCGTTGTACTGTTGATATTTGGCTCTGTTGACTGAGTTTGCCGACCACTGCTCTAACCTAACTAAATCCCAAGGAAAGGCTTTGATTTACCCAGCTTGGGTCAGGTGCCAGCTCACATGGTAATTACATCATTTCAGGGGAGGGCAGTAGGGAAGTTCCCAGAAGAGAAGTACAGGTGCTGAACTAAGAAAATAATCTGCTCACTATATCTTGCTCAAGTCAGTGGGCAACCATTGATTTTTAAAAAAAATATATATGCTTTTATTGATTTTAGAGAGACAGGAAGGGAGAGAGAAAGAGAAACATTGATGAGAGAGAAACATCAACACTGATCAGCTGCCTCCTGCACGCCCCATACTGAGGATTGAGCCCAAAAACTGGGCTTGTGCCCTGACCAGGAATTGAACTGGTGACCAATGGTTCATGGGTCAACACTCAACCACTGAGCCACACCAGCCTGACAACAAGTATATTTAAAAATATTAAAATTTTTAGTTATATATGAGAAATTGTGTTGCCTTAAAAAAATAAAATAAAACTCATGCAGAATAGAAGAAACTTCAAATAGGCTCAAGCAGCTAACTTGCTCTTTTATCTTTTTTCCTTCTGTAGACTGAAATGTCCTTTTTTTATTTTTCAGTTCCTAAGTTATTTCTGAACAAAGAATGACTTAGTCAGAAGGGAATGAATCTTGAGAAATGGCTACAGTCAGTGACTAGGTGGGTCTCTTCTAGTTGGAATTCGTTGGCATGCCAAGCAAACCTAATTTCATCTAATTGATGAAATTGGGTAAATGGGCAAGAATAAAATCCAATTCAGAAAAGTGGATGGGCCCTCACGAGGTGGTGGTTTGAGTGAAAGATCTGGGGGATTTTAGTTAACTACAGGTTTAGTATATGCCACTATTCCATATGTCCATCTCTTTAAAAAAGAGAAGAAAATATTTCATTCATATCTGTTACATCACTTCTGGGCTCCGTGTTTTAAGACAGTGGTCGGCAAACTCATTAGTCAGCAGAGCCAAATATCAACAGTACAACGATTAAAATTTCTTTTGAGAGCCAAATTTTTTAAACTTAAACTATATAGGTAGGTACACTGTTATTAACTTAATTAGGGTACTCCTAAGCTGGCCTTTGCTAAAAAATCAAGGGGCAAAAAGCTGCAGTTTGCCAACCACTGTTTTAAAACACAGAGTGAGTGATAATACCAGAATAGGTCCCAAAGACAGACAGGAATAAAAGAGAAGACTGCAGGGATACTAGGGGTCTTGACCCAGCTGAGGAACTATTATTATTACATAAAAGGTAAAATAGACTTTACATATTTTAGGTGTCCTCATTCGAACCCTTAGTTCTGAAACTTCTGCAGATATAAGAAAATAATATAGAGATGTAATATACAACATGATTACTGTAGCTAACACTGCTAAATGGTATCCTACATAATAAAAGAGTAATATGCAAATTAACCATCACTCCGCTACACAAGCTAAGCCCACCAGCCACACCCCCAGCCCATCAGAAAAGTATGCAAATAAACCCAACCAAGATGGCTACAGCCACAGAGAGCAGGAGGGAGGCTTGGGTTTCCCGGGCAGCAGAGGAAGCCAAGCTTTCCTTCTGCCCTTGCAGCCTAAGCCTCCACTCAAAGTTACAAAGTTTCAATTATAGAAGGTAAACAAATCCAAACAAATGGTTGCCACCACAGAGCCAGCAGAAGGCTCAGTTGTAGAAGGTAAATAAATTCCAGATACCAGGGCCTCTGCTTGGGTGGTCAGGGGGCGTGGCTGGCCTGCAAACCACCACAGGCTCCTCGCTCAGGCTGATGTTTCTCTCTCTCCTATTCCTTCCTCTCTGAAATCAATTAAAAAACATGTTGTTGTTTAAATTGTGTTAGAGAATAGATCTCAAAAGTTCTCATCACAAGAATGATGAATGTTAATTAAACTTATTGTGGTTATCAGTTTGCAGCATAAGTCACGTTCTGCAGTATACTTTAAACTTGTGTGTCAGTTATATCCCAGTAAAACACAAGAAAAAAATAAAAAGAGAAAATGTTGGAAAACATTAAGAATAATCGCCATTTTATCAACATCAAAAAACCATTTAGGAGGAAAATTGTGGAGAAAATATATTCTAAAAAAGTGCAAAAGTCTTGATTTAATATTTTTCACTTGATTTGATATTTTTCAAAAAAGACCATCATATTTCTCATCATTTCTCAGTTTGCAGTGTAAGAAGAAATGCTTGTGAAAATAGCCATGGCCCTGCATCTTCAGTTGGAGAGGGTGTTCGATCTTTTATCTGAGAGTCGCTCATTCAGGAAAGGGTCTGGAGGCTTTAACATGGAGCATTTGTTTTTGAGTGGTGGTGTCAGGTGACTTCAAATCCACAAAAACAACTTACTGACTCCTGTATTCTCACTTTTTTTTTTCTGCTCAGTTTGTCCTTCCCATAGAGAGGTAGGTAAGCAGATTGTGGGATGGTGTCTACAGAGTATGGAGCTCTGTTCTGCCACAGATGTACACGTCTTCTAGACCAGTGGTCGCCAACTTTTCGGACCTCACGAACCACCGGTTGGCGACCACTGTTGTTAAAATTAGTGCAGAACTCCTGTGGCTGTCCCTCTTTGAGTAGAGGCAACAGGTGCTTTGGGCAGTTATGGGATGCAGCACTGGTAATAGCTAGCCCATACTTCTGTCACCATTCGTACAGCATGAATCAGATATCTGTGGCTGTCCACTTACCCCTCCACCCTACCTTCCCAGAAATGAACAGTCCCCAGAACTGTACTGGCTGCTGTATTTTGGTCTTTGGTGACAACCTCATTGTCCCATCTAGTGGCACTACTTCATTACTTGTTGACTTGTTGATGTGGTCTTCATTAGTATTTTCCATCCCCTCCCTTGCTCTTTTTTCATATTTGACTCTGTTAGTTTATGACAAGGAAACACTTGACTCTAAACAGAACTCTCCCCTCCACCCCCTACCCCTGTTGTAATTGAGTGTTATGAAAATCTGATTCTTCTCTCCTGTGTTTGGTTTGGTTAAATCTTCAGCTGCTAGTTTCTAGAGAAATTCTGGAAAGAACTCCTCTAAAATATCTAGATTACCCCAAAACCGGTTTGGCTCAGTGGTAGAGCGTCGGTCTGCGGACTGAAAGATCCCAGGTTCGATTCTGGTCAGGGGCATGTACGTTGGTTGCGGGCACATCCCCGGTAGGGGGTGTGCAAGAGGCAGCTGATCGTTGTTTCTCTCTCATCGACGTTTCTGGCTCTCTATCTTTCTCCCTTCCTCTGTAAAAAAATCAATAAAATATTTAAAATATAAATAAATAAAAAACATAAAATATCTAGATTACTCTGGGTAGTGTGCACATATGCACCAAATAACTCTGAATCCATATCCGAAAATAACATCAGTTATAGAAATTGTCTATCTGGGCATTTTGAAGAGATGGGGAAATCTGTAAGACTATCTTATTTCATGTGATCTGGTAGGATCTTTCCTTAACCTCTATGAATAATACTCTCTTGCTATATATACATGTTGTTTTATTTACATAAGATAAATTTATTATGAATTGAAGTTTGTTGTAAGCCTTAATTATTTCAATCAGAATATATAAAAATTTTAACTTTAGGCTACAAAATTCTGAGTTTTAATGAGAAAATTTATGTCTACTATGTGATTTTAGCAGAGGACAAAGGCAGGTTTCTAATAACCACATGGTATCTCTTCTCGTATCATTAAAACCACAAGTTATATCCTTTTGTGTAAATATTTAACAGTTTCTCCTTTATTAGTAATTTCTGTCTGCTATAATCCATTGAAACCTCTTCCTCCTGCCACCTGTTTTGATTACTTTGAAAGCTATGATTTTAAGACCTTGTCCTACTCTAACCATGTCCAGGTTTTACTTAAATTATGAGAATCACAGTTTGATTCAGATTAAAAACTAACATTTCAAAAATAATGTTGTTTGTATTTTTTTTAATTATTTTTATTTTTAAATATATTTTATTGATTTTTTACAGAGAGGAAGAGAGAGGGATAGACAGAAACATCGATGAGAGAGAAACATCGATCAGCTGCCTCTTGCACACCCCCTACTGGGAATATGCCTACAACCAAGGTACATGCCCTTGCTGGAATCGAACCTGGGACCTTTCAGTCCTCAGGCTGATGCTCTATCCACTGAGCCAAACCGGTTTCGGCAGTTTTATTTTTATTTTTAATGTTTTCATTGATATTTAGAGAAAGAAAGAGGGAGAGAGAGATAGAAACATCAATATGAGAGGAACATTGATCAGCTGCCTCCTGCAGGCCTCATACTGGGGATAGAACCCACAACCCGAGTATGTACCCTGACTGGAAATTGATCCAGCAACCTTGACAATGTTCAAACAACTAAGCCACACCAGCTAGACTTTTTGTGATTTTATATGATTCAGTAACCTCTTTAATATATTGTAAATAGAGTTTATTTGATATTCTAGTATATAGATTGATTTCTATATGTCTTTTCTTTTCAAACCAAGAAATTTCAGATTGAGTATATACAGTTAAAAAGTCCTTCTCATTGGGAGTAGTATTTTAGCAGGGGCTTGAAAGGAAGGGAAAAACCTGATACCTGCCATTATTGGAAACTGCAGGAAGGTAGATCCTTGTTATGTAGTGGCAGAAAGCTTAAAGCTTGGCTACACTATGAAAGTGATCCACATGACCTAACTAAGGAGGTTTCTAAGCAAAGTATTGAAGGTGCGGTGTAGTTTCTTTTAGTAAATGCAAAACTAGAGAGAGTAATCAAGAGGAAAAGACTGCTAAACAAAAAGAAACAAGAACCTGGTGGTTTGAAAATTTTATGCCTCTGGAGACGCAAAAGATGCTAAAATTAAGAATGGCTATTGAAGGAAGTTCAGATTCATTATGAGTTTTCTTAGCACCAGGTATCTCTCTGATATGGTTGCAAAATTATGTTCATATGTGTGATTGTTATTTGATGTTCACATCGAATTGAACCCAGAGTTGTACCTTTTATTTCTGCCTCAATCCTAGATTGTAAACTATTTAAAACGAGTCTATTTCAGAAAGTCGAAGAATCCTATTAAGGGAGCCTCAGTCTACCCTGCTCTATGCTATAGAGTAGGTGTCTCCTTCAACGGAAAGTAAATATAGTGTGTGAAAATAACACCTCACTTGACAAATGAGGAAATCTGAAATAACTAGGTAGTAGTACAGCAGGAAAGAACCCAGATTTCTTTTTTCTTTTTTTTTCTTTTTATTGTTTATATTGCTTTCAGAGAGGAAGGGAGAGGGAAAGAGAGACAAAAACATTAATGGTGAAAGAGAACCACTGATTGGCTGTCTCTTGCACACCCTCTTCTAAAGATTGAGCCTGCAACCCATGACCAGGAATTTAACTGTGCCCTCCTGGTTCATAGGTCCACGCTCAACCACTGAGCCTGCCAGACGGGCGAACCCAAATTTCTTAATGTCCAACCCAAGGAATTTTTTTTTAGAGTGGTCTGCTTGTATAAACCTGAGTGATCATCATTATCATCTAAGGTGCTTTAAAAAGTATAATTGTAGCTCTGAGAATTTTTGAAGAGGGCTATGTTAAGTTATGTTAGGAAGCCACTGAACCTTGGCCACATTACCATTCATTTGTTTTTTAATTGTATGAGTAAATCATGTTTAATAGACTTTTCCAATTGGGATTATATTGCTAATTATTTTTAATACCTTCATCATTATTCATAAAGAAGAGAAAAAAGGGAGGGGAAACAAGAGGGCGAGAGAGGGGAGAGAATGGAGGGTGTATGTATGTGTGTTGTGTGTTTAATTTTCCAAGGGATGGTGGATGACAGCCTTTTATACTGACCAGGGGAAAAATGACTACTTTTAATAACTAGATCGCAGTTTTGGTTATGTCTGATGAGAAGATGTAAAAGTGACGTCATGTGGCTCATATCTTATCAACAGAAGTTTTATGAAATGATTTAAAAGAGCAAAGGCAAGAAGAAATATTGGGTTTGTTTTGTAAAAAACCTTACACACTACAGAGAGCAAACTGTTGATGAAATTGGACTGATCAATGGCATCTGTTCTTGTGCTATAGAAAAGGTACTAAAGATGTGCAATAGTGCTGGGTGTAGAGTTGAGACCTGGTGTGGTGGTATTTTAGAGTGAAATTCACCATCTCTGGTGTAGCCAGTTCTTTTCTAGATATAGAATACAATCTGTAGTATATATAGAAAATTCCATTAAATGAATTGAGGATTATTATTTCAACAGGCAGTGTATTTATTTTAAAAACCCCTGAAACATAGGAATTTATTGCTTCTATTATATCTACATTTCCCTTATATCACAATGTTGCTTCAATAATTTAAAATGAATCAGATCTCTTCTATACATTTTACAATGAAATTATTTTTAGAAATCTAATTTAAATAATTTTATTATTCTGATGAATATTTGGTTAACATGGCTTCTTATAAGATTTTATAATGTTAATTAATTTCTTACTTTTGTCCATATTACTTTTTCAATGTCTTACAGTGCCTATACCAACCAATCTTACAATAGAGGCCTATAACTTCAATCCTATCCTATATTGGAATTACCCAATCATGGCACAGAAGCCTGTTTTTATTGTACAGGTAAAAATCTATGGGTGAGTGTTACTCTTTTATCCTTTTTACTCTTGTTTTGTCTATGTCCTTGCATATTTCATAACTGTGTTCCCTCCCATTATCCTTCCTTCTGTTGTGGCAAAACTTCCTGAACTGCTTGTAGAATTCCAGAGTGCTAACGTTCAAATTAATTCTTATCAGAAAACTTCCTGCCTCTTAGTTCTTCTGTCAGAATTGAAGTAGACAAGTATCACTAAGTTCCCAGATTTCTTTTTACCTTTTCAAAAATTTTTCATTTATGTTATTTTTCTTAAATGTATTTTTATTAATTTTAGAGAGGAAAGGAGAGGGAAAGAGAAATAGAAACATCAAAGATGAGAGAGAATAATTGATTGGCTTCCTCAGTGGGGGTTGAATCCCAACCCGGCATGCACCCTGACTGGGAATCAAACCATGATCTCCTGGTTCATAGGCTGACACCCAACCACTGAGCAACACCAGCCAAGCTTAATTTATTTTTTAAATCCTCACCTGAGAACATGCTTAGAGAGAGGAAGGGGCTGTTGGGGGTGGGGGGAGTAGAGAAACATTAATGTGAGAGAGAAACATTGATCAGATGCCTTCTGCATGTGCCCTGACTAGGGATCGAACCTGCAACCCAGGTTATGTGCCCTGATTTCAAATCGAACAGGTAACCTTTTGGTATATAGGACAAAACTTAACTAACTGAGCCACTCCAGCCAGGCTGACTTCACAGATTTAAGGCACGATAATAAATAAAGCTTTCCATTCTCTATTAAAAATAATAACATCTTACTTTCTATAGTGTACATGTATTATTCAGTAAAAGAAAAATTTCAGAAAACTTTTTACAGGTGTTAGTCTTTGTAATGGTTTGATTCTGTAAGTGAGTAATGGTCATATTAATGGAAACAAGTTGTATAAAGACCAGATTTTTAAAAATTGCATATGGAATATGATTTGTACAGAGCTTGTAATTTGAATTGAGCCTCTTTATTATAAAGGAAATTATAGAACTTTTGACTAAAGAGTAAGGGCTTTCTTCCTACTTTGTCTAGCTTCTTCATCCTATTATTTTTTTCTTTTTTTAAAAAGAATAGTTTGATTTTTTTTAGAGAGAGGAAGGGAGAAGAGAGAAACATCGATGTGACAGCATAACATCAGTTGGCTGCCTCCTGCACGCTCCCTATTGGGAATCGAGCCTGCAATCCTGGCATGTGCCCTGACTGGGAATTGAACCAGCAACCTCTTGGTGCACAGAACAATGCCCAACCAACTGAGCCACATCGTCCAGGGCCATCGTATTCTTATTTAGCTCTTTCTACCAGCTCCATGTTGTGAATGAAATCAAAGCAAAGCCATAGATGGTTCAGGTTTATATACTAATAAAAGTTACCTTTGTGTTTTTTTATTCCTCTTTATTTTAGGGAGGATGAATGGTTTGATGCCTGCAATACGTCTCATCATCACTGTAACATCATTTTCTTGATTAAGAATCCAGAATATTCTCTCTGGACCAGAGTTAAAGCTAGGCTTGGTCAAGAAGAATCAGCCTATGCAGTGTCAGGAGAATTTATTTTGTGCCGTCAAGGTGAGCAGAACAATTTTAAATTTGAGAGTATTTATATGTATCATTTGAGATTTTAAATTTGAGTGTATTTAAATATGTATTTGCTTTTATTAGCAGTTGTTAAAAGTTATTACAGTGCCCAAAAAACATTTAGAGCAATTTAGGGAATTCGTGTCTTCCTCTTCTCCCAAGTCTCATAAAATAGGGCAAAGGTGCCCATCTCTTTGCCCCTACTAAACTATTATATTTCCATTCTATTTCAATATGTGGATTAGTGCTGTCCAATTAGAATCTGCACTGCCCTGCCCCTTCCTGTCTTGGTCATCCCTTTATAAGTTACATTCACTGAGGACTTTGGCAGCTTCTTTATCTTACTTGTCTACCTTAAGTCCTCAAGGTTGTGGGAATTTTAATACCAACTTCATACTTTAAAAAAAAATACCAGCTGAAACCGGTTTGGCTCAATGGATAGAGCGTCGGCTTGGGAACTGAAGGGTCCCGGGTTCGATTCCGGTCAAGGGCATATACCTTGGTTGTGGGCATATCCCCAGTAGGGGGTGTGCAAAAGGCAGCTGATCGATGACTCTCTCTCATCGATGTTTCTAACTCTCTCTATCTCTCTCTCCCTTCCTCTATGTACAAAATCAATAAAATATATTTAAAAAAAAACAAAACAAAAAAAACCAGAATTCTGGAATCTCTTTAACCCCAGTTATTTTCAGCTCTTCATGCTTCCAGCATCCTGTTGCCATAGTTTACCCAATCTTTACTATCACTTTCAGCTCCAGAATCTTCAGTGCCAGTTCCTTTTTTGACTAAAGTCCTCCCTTATACCTTCACTTCTGGTTAAACAAAGTCTTTAGTCACCTGACTGCTCCCTATGCTTCCAGTCCGTCAGTGCCTTGCCTTCCAACTTTACTTCCTTACTGTTCAGCTTCATGCTTCATTACCTCAACCACCGCCTCCTTCTGCTCCTACTTTCTGGATTGTGCCTACTTGTTCTCTTCCACAACCCATTCTCTACTTGCCCTTAAAATAGTTTTATTCCCCAGAGATCATGATTTTTTTTTTTCCATCCACAACTATACCCTCTGTATGTCAGATTTTTCCCAGAAGACTTATCAAAGGCATACTTTATGCCAGAAAATATGGTAGGCCCAGAGAATACATGGGTGAGTAACAATAGATCTGCCTGGCACACAGTAGGAATACAATAAATATGTGAAAAATAGTTAAATGGTTCACCAATGAAGTCCCCAACATCGAAGACACATCATAAAAATTTCTGGAATGAATGAATATCTAGTTCTGACTTTCACAATTAAAATTGAATATATTCAGCAGATTTTTATAGAGCTTTCATGCAAGATATCCATAGTGTGTAGATAAAAAGTTACTGCAAAGGTTTAAAGATAACTAACATGCCTCTTTTAAATCATGTTTTTAGAAAACCATTTTTAAAAATATGTCTGTTGATTTTAGAGAGAAGAAGGGACAGGGGGAGAGAGATAGAAACATCATTGATGAGAGAGAATCATTGATTGGCTGCCTCTTGTACTCTCCCCGAATGGGCATTGAGCCTGAAACCTGAGCATGTGCCCTGACCAGGAATTGAACAGTGACCTCCAGGTTCATAGGTCAACTCTCAACCACTGAGTCACACTGGCCAGGTGAAAACAGTTGGGGTTTTTTTTGTTTTGTTTTTAATCTACAGAACCAAAGGTAAAGAAAAAATAACTTCTATTATATCAAGGTTTGTTTGTTTGTTTGTTTTTTTAACCAGGATTCATGACCACCTATTTTTCTTTAGGACTTGAAATGAATTTAAATTGTTAAAGAGGAGTTTAGATAAGAATACTTCTTGACTGAGAAGATATAAACATTTCTTTATTAAGTACACTTAGAATCTTCTAGATCAGCGGTTCTCAACCTGTGGGTCGCAACCCCTTTGGGGGTCGAACAACCCTTTCACAGGGATTGCCTAAGACCATCGGAAAACCCAGATATTTACATTATGATTCATTAACAGTAACAAAATTACAGTTATGAAGTAGCAACAAAAATAATTTTATGGTTGGGGGTCACCACAATATGAGGAACTGTATTAAAGGGTCGCAGCGTTAGCAAGGTTGAGAACCACTGTTCTATATTTTTTTGGAATGGTTTAAATGTGGCTCTGCTTTAGAATAGCAAAAAGAGTAGGTGGTTTGATTTTGGTAATTTTATACAGTCCTATATAATAAAAGGGTAATATGCAAATAGATTAAACAGCAGAATCAAACAACCATCAAAGCTTAGTATGCTAATGATATGCTAAGGCTGCTCAACCGCTGCTATGACATGCGTTGACCACCAGGGAGAAGATGCTCTGACTGGTAGGTTAGCTTGCTGCTGGAGTCCAGCCGATTGGACTGAGCGAGATGGGCCAGACATGCTCTGGAACCCTTCCATGGTCCCTCCCTGGACTGATCATGCACCGGTGGGGTCCCTCAGCCATGCTTGTGCCCTCTTGCAATCCAGAACTCCTCAGGGGATGTCATAGAGCCTTTTCAGCTTGATCCTGCAGGCTACTCCCTTGGGAGGGCTCCAAAAAGCAGGACTCATAGCTGGCAAATGCTGCTATGGCAGCACAAGCCTCTCCTGATCGGGACTGATTGGGCACAAGCCCTCAGCAGGCACAGTGGGGCTGGGATGATTGGGAGCAGCAGGTAGGAGTTGCAGGTGGCATTGTACTGTGGGTTTTGGCCCAATCCCAGCAGGCCACCCAGAAGGACCCCACCCTGCACAAATTCATGCACTGCGCCTCTAGTGTACTATAAAGTTCCAGGGCCAACTAATTGTACTTCTTTTTTACCTTCCCCCCACCCAGGGAAAGTTGGACCACCTAAACTTAATATCAGTCACAAGGAAGACCAACTCATTATTAAAATATTTCATCCTTTAATTGTTGTAAATGGAAAAGAGCTAGGAGTCATTTTTGGAGAAGATACTTGTTATACCAACTACCAAGTGTATGAGAGAATAAATGAAGGACTGGTATGTCTTTCTTGTTCATCTTTTTCAAATTGGAGAATTTCTGTCACTAACAAGTTTTTTCCTATGCTGTGTAAGAAAGTAGAATGCTTACCCTAGCCGGTTTGGCTCAGAGGTTAGAATGTCAGCCCATGGACTAAATGGTCTCAGGCTTGATTCTGGTCAAGGGCATGTATCTGGTTTGCAGCCTAGGTCTTGGCCCCAGTTGGGGTGGGTGTGGGGGGCAACTAATTGATGTGTCTCTCTCACATCAATGTTTCTCTCTCTGTGTGTCTCCCCCTCCCTTCCACTCTTTCTCTAAAATCATGAATATTCAGCCAAGACTTACCGATCTTAGGTAACAGAATAGCCCTAATATAAGATATTAACCTGTATATTTTCATTCCTTCACTGGTAACATGAGAATAAATTTAATCTTTTCTTCCTCATTGGTAGTAATGTAAAATTACACAAAACTATATTGGAGTCATTGTTTATAAGAGAAAAAGCTAACAGTAGTACTGTGTGGATATAATTACATTCTAGGTCTGGTTTGCAGATCACGAATTATTCTATTCCATCCAGTTGTCACAGAGCACTGTGACATTCCTTTGTTTAACAATATTTGTCAAGCATGTGCTCTGTGCCTTCTAGGCACCAGGAGAAAGCAGTGAACAGTACAAAGAAAACTCAAATGATCAGTACCATAGAGAAAAAAGCAGGGAAGAGGGTTGGGTGGGGTATGGGTGCTAGTGACTTTCAGTAGGGTGGTTTGAGCAGACCTCACCTGCTGGACCAGCTGTTACTACAACCAGGGCTGGAGGAAATGAGGAGTGAGCTCCATGGATCATGATGGGGAGAATGTTTCAGCCAGAGTGTGGCCAAAGGCCACCGGGCATATGAAGGGAGCAGCAAGACTGCAGAGTATGGAAGCAGATGAGGTTAGAGAGGTCCCTGGGTCACATTTCTTGCAGTGTTTCCCAAAGTGTGGTACGCGTACCCCCAGGTGTATGGGAAGAGTTTGGTGAGGGTACACGTTGCACCGGAGTTTGGTGGGGATATGCACTGCACCATGCTTAGCTGCGCCTAATTCTACGTTCTCATAAGTACGAAGGGTACTCAGCGTTATGAAAATTTTAGAAGGGGTACACATATGTCAAAAGTTTGGGAAACAGGAATTTTTTTTGTTTTGTTTTTCTAAGTGAGATATTACACATCTGGAAAAGTTTAAACAGAAGAGTAACATCTGATTTAGATTTTAAAACATTTTGGTTGCTAGCAGAGTTGTTTCTAGAACAGTATTACTTCACTGCTTAAAACTCTTTAACAAATCCCCATCAGCTACAGAATAATGCCTAAATTCTCTTTCCTGGCATGGCCTACAAGGTCTTCATGAATTGGCCTCTTACATTTTTTCCAGCACCCCATCTCCCCATTCCTTCCAACCTTATTTTCATTCATGCTTTGGTGAACCGCTTGCTGTTCTCAATTCCTATAAATAATATGCTCTTTCATAGAATTTTCTTCATCTTTCTCCTTTGGCAAATTTTTACTCATTCTTCAGTATTCAACTGGCATATCATATCCCCTTTGAATTATTTTCTGATACAGTAGACGCTTTCCTCTTCTGTGGTCTAGTTACTCCTATTTCCTTATATTGAATAGATGTCCTCTTGCAGTACTCGTTACATTTCTTACATTTCATTCTTATCTCTTGTCTATACCCTACAGTAAGTTATTTGAGGTCAGCACCACTCTATGGCCCTTGAGTTTTCAGGCCCTAGCACAGGTGATCCACGCACTTTGACTGGTGGAGTGAATTATAAACTCCCAGAGATTGCTTCAGTCCCTTCTACATATTACTACCAAGAGATCCTGCAGCTTTTGCATAAAATCTCTATTATTCTTCCTATAAAATGCTTTTATCTCTCACCAGCTAAGTTTCTAGCATTACAGAAATAGGACTAATAAACCATTCCTATTTGTGTTTTTAAATTTCTAACCCCTATAAAGAACATTTTGATGGCTACATTATGCTCTGTTGAAGTAACAAACTGACTTATTATCTGATATGAACACTCTTTTTAGTCATGTACAACATTCATCACATATATGCTTTCTCCAGGTGTTTTGCCAGTGTAAATATGATGATTGAGGTTTTTTTTTTGGCAGATTAAAAAGAGCCATGAATTTTCACTGTGTTTTGTTTTCTCATATAGATTATAGAGAGAATTTTAAAAGAGAATGAAGATGATTGTGACGAGACTCAGTGCAATTTTAGTATTCCAGTGTCCTCACAGAATTTTAAGTACTGTATTTCAGCAGAAGGAATCTCACCTTTAATGTCCCTAAAAACTGAAATGTCCGAAGAACATTGTATTACCATTTCTGATAGTAAGAATAGTAAGAGCATAAAAGGTAAGTTCTTGTCATTTTTTCTTAAATATAAAGAGTGATAACATAGGGTAATATAAAAAAGGAGAATTTTCAATTTCAATAATCTCTGCTCTTTTAAAAATAGTTCTATGCCTCAGAGAAGTTCAAAATTACATATAAGGCCACTCCTCAGGTCTTAAAAGATATGAAACAATCAGGTTGGAAAGCCATGTGAAAACCTTTTCATACAAAAAAAATAAATAAAAACACATAAAACTGTGTACAAATGTCTGCATTTCAGGATTATGTATAATAATATAAATCAGTTTATTACTTCAATACAGCAAGATTATATTCAAGATATGTATTCATGTATGTATGTTCATATATGTTCATCTGAGGACAGAAAGTTTAAAAACTGAATAGGAAGAATATTAATTGATTAAAGTTTTGTGACATGTGAACTGTACAAGCACTGGAAATTAATATTAAAAAATAAGTATAGATTGACTTAAATGGATTAACATTTTAAAATAATTATTTTTATTTTATCATCTTTTCCTGACCAATGAGGAAAGTAAAAAGAGGAAAAGCTCAAAAGAAACAGAGGGGGGGGGGGGGATGAGAGAGAGAGAGAGAGAGAGAGAGAGAGAGAGAGAGAGAGAAAAGAATCCGAATAACCTAGATTTACTAAAAAAAAAAAAAAAAAAAAAAAAACAAAAAAAGATGCCTAATTATAAACTGTGGCTCATAGCATCTTCCCTGCTTGCCTGTCCAATGCTTCTGAGCCCAGTGCTGGTTTTGTTATGTACTAGTAGCTCATTTTACCTTTTACTATTGTAATAATTTAATTGTTTTCATATCCTGTAACAGGTGTGACACAAGCATTCATTTAGTAGTAACTTCCAGAATTACTATTCCAAAGAAGTAACTTTAGAATAGAAATTAAAGGTAATGAAATGCCCTTGAAAGAAGCCAAATTCCACAATGATATGTAAAGTACTGTTAATTAGGAACAGAGGACTGTGGGAAAAAGTACTGAAGATTGCACTGTGAAAATAAAAAGCAGCATTAGAGAAAAATCACACCAGTGACGATATATGTATGTGTTCTGAAACAAAAGTCAAGGAGACTTTATTCCTTTGCAACTTTCCCGTATCTGTGTGCGCGCACATGCACGTGCGTGGTTGTGCATCTTTATAAGTATTTGCAATCTTGAAATATAAAATGTAACAAAATTCTATGGAATAGGATTGTATTATTTAAATAATATTCTTTAAGTTCTTCTTTTGCCTCTTTAACTGAGAGAAAAGCGTAGCTCTATAAACTTCCTATAATTTGGGGTTGTAAGGAAATTGTTAGGAAAAAGCTATTTTAGCCACATTATGTCATAACAAGATAGTTGTAAAAAGTTAAGAATTGTAAGCTGGGAAGAATATGTTGCTATCTAGGAAGAACATAATTTTTTACTCACCTCTCCTGACTTTGGTATCAGGTAACACTCTGATCGTATTACCTGATGTAATCTATATAAATAATAATTCAGCCCTGGCCAGTATAGCTCAGTTATTTGAGTATCATCCCATGCACTTAGAGGTTGCTGGTTCAATTCATGGTCGGCCCCATGCCTGGAGTTATAGACTCAATCCCCAGGAGGGAGCTTGCAAAAGGCAACCAATCTATGCTTTTTCACATAGATGTTACTCTCACTCTTCATCTCTCTCTCAAAGCAATAAAAACATTTTTAAAAAAGAATAGTTCAAAGACATTATAACTATTTGATTATAGCAGTGTTCCATCTTAATTCTAATTTGTGGTTTTTCTTTTCTTTCAGATTCTATTTGGATTCCAGTTGGTGCTGCTCTTTTACTCTTTGTAATACTTATCCTGGTAGTTGTATGTTGGAACTTGAAGAAGATAAATCCTTTTAAGAATGAAAGAATCCCATTACCCAAGTCCTTGGTAACATATTTAAATATACTCCTTTAATTATATACACTAAAATGTTGATTTGAACCTTTTTGATACTTTCTAAAACTTTAAAAAGTAGAATGATGTTCAGCAGCAAGTCACCTACCATAAATCACTCAGACCTACCACATATCCAAAACCACATATTTTTCACTACACACTAGGTGCCTTTTTTATGCATGAGGCAAAAGTACAGTTAGACAAGTCTGTTAAGGAGCTTAAAGTCTAACGGGAGAAAAAGACAAGTATTCAGTGGGTGTACTGTGTGACAGGTTTAAAAGTAGAGGTTTATATACGTGTCAAAGAGGACTTAGTTTAGAGGCAGTGAAGCCTGCGCAGTCATGAGGGACAGATCGGAGTTTATCCAGTACTAAGGGACCATATGTGCTAAAGTCCAGCATCAAGAAACTATGGCTTTTGAAAATACAGGAACCCTTCACTGTGGTTGGAATGCAGAAGGAAAGATGTCCAAGAGTGAGACTAAACTAGAAGTTTGACATTATAATATCTAACATTTAAAATTCTTTGTATGATGAAAACATTTAAAGGCTAATAATTACAATTTTTGAATCACGTATGATAGGAATAACATCTGTGATATGCCAAGGGCACATTTAAATTCATTATGAATACATTACATTTAAGTAAAATGGATAAGAACTATGAACATGTAGTAGACAATTCACATATTATAGTCCTCATTCGTTCTATTAATTAAGCACAAAACAATTTCACAGTATGCCATTTTATACCCACTAGAGAAGAAAAAATAAACTTGAATATCCAGGAGTAGCACTAGTAAAACTGGTCATATAGCCCTAGTGGGAAGCTAAGCATACAATGAGTACAAAGTGTCATAGTTCCATAAACGTGCCCCACCCTTGAACTTAGTCATTCCATCTTTTTATTTCTAAAGTAACACATGTAACATTATTTATTTCAACATGTTCTATCAATAGTAAAAATTGTTAACACTGCTAACATCTACTATTAGAGAAATTTATTTAATCATTGGTATGAAGAACTTATATGAGCCAATGAAAATTATAATTATGAAGGAAAATGGTAAAATTATTTTATAAAGTAGCTGTACTCCCATTACAAATTTAACATTCATATGTATTAAAAGTAATGCCCCCAAAACAGCTATTTTATATATGCGTGTATATTATATATATATATAATAAAATATATTGGTAAGATATTAACTTAAAAATTTGTTTCTAATCTTGACATAGTATGTTTTCATTAAAAATAAAGAAAGTGCAACCACTAGATTTTATTATACTATTCTAAATATGCCATTTAGTGGTATATTTAATTGTCCATTAGCCTTAGACCATTTTTTGAGGAAGCTTCTTAAGTTTAATAATTAGTTGTTTTTAATCATTGATTTCTCTACCCTTAGATGTCTGTGGTAAAAAATGCGTCTTTAGAGGCAAAATCTGAATCGAAATATGTATCACCCATCATCTATGAGCCAATTGTCCCTGAAAATGAGAAAGTGATCTGGGAAGAGCAGTTGTCTCCAGCAACAATTTCAAGTATGCAGACTGAGGATGATCCAGGAATAGCAAAGCACGGAGATCTTCCTAAGGAAACACACGTGGGGACCACTGAAGAAAACACTCCTGATGTGGACCCTGGTAGCCCTTCGACCCTAGTAAGGAGCAGGGATTCTGTCCATTCAGGCAGTAACCGGTCTGAACCCTGCATCGTTGCTTTAAATGCTTATCACACCAGAAATGGTTCTGATAGTGACCTTGTGGAATCCAACAGCTGCTTATCTGACTCCGAATCTCCTCCAAGTAGCAAAACTGAAATGATGACCGGAGAACCAGAGCCCATAATGCCGAGAAACACTACTACCTCCTTTGGTTACGATAAGCCCCATGTGCTAGTGGATGTGCCTATGGATGAAGGTGGTAAAGAGTCCCTGATTGGTTACAGAGATTGACAAAGAGTACCTGATTGGTTATAGCAGATTCCAAAGAGTTTCCATAATGTGCCAACTTGGAAGGATCTGCTTATCCTGAGCAGTTTTTCTGCCTTGATTTCATGAAAAGATCATGATTTCAGAAATGATGTCTTTTTTTATATTAACCAAATGGAATGCCTTGGTTTAGGTAACGGTGTAAAGAGCCTGGCACTGTCACATTTGGTCTGAAAACTGCAAAGACTGAAAAAACAAACTGTGTCTCCCTTCTTAGGGGACACAGTTACTGCACATGAACTTCTCCATTTACATGGGCTCTGAATACTCTCCATTAATCCTGCTTCCTGTGAAGTAAGTGATTCCCAGGGTCCTTTTTTTTTTTATATATATATATAAGTTTCTGTAAAAGATATTTTTAAATGTTTACTTCCAAAAGCTTTTCAAAATTGCATTTAAAATTGAATTTATACCAATAGAATTAATAAAGAGTATGTATTTTATAGAATGCTGCATTTAGAGATTTTTAAATAAAGAATTTTTAATTCATTTTTGTATTCATTTATTCAAGCACTTTGGCAGTTAACTAGAATATTTTTATTCACTTGCTTATTTTTATGAATTAATGCTATAGAATTATTTTTAAATTATTTATAACTAATCTTTAAAATAGTTCTAAAACTAGTCTTATTCTTAAAAAAACAAACAAACAAAAAAAAAAAACAGTCCTTTTATGCCTATATTTCAGTATTTATTACCCAGTGTGCAGAACACTGTTCCAAGCTTTTTGGGGATGGGGTGGGGCAGAAGCAGAAAGATTTCTAGAGCATGTGGACTGGTGAACCATAAAGATGGTGGTCAAAGTCATGGGAATGGGTAAGGGAGCCCTCAGAAGCATCAGGTGTGAAGAGAATTCCCAGTGAGAGGCAAACCAAGAATTAGTTAATAGCTATATATATTACACAAGGAATTTGTGGGAATATTAAGGGTAGAAATTTTATATATATTTTTAAATATAATTTACATGAATAGATTAACAGATTATGGAAAACTTTTTCTTCTCACTTAAAAGTGTAAATTAAAATGAGGTGCTATTTTTGTCTTCCTTGACAGCAGCTGCATCATTCCAATCTCTCTTGTCACAAGGCATTCTTCCCTGTGTGTCTCTGTGTCCAAATCTCTCTCTCTCTCTGTAAAGATACCAATCAGATTAGGTCACACTAACCCTGAATGATCTAATCTTAATTTGATTAGATCTGCAAAAACTTGATTTTCAATTAAGATTACATTCATTGGTACTAGTTGCTCTAATAGTATTAAATCATCCCACTTTTCTGTGCTGATTTCAAATGTCACATCATATGCCAAATTCTCAGTACTATATCACACTCTTTTAATTATTATAGTTTTATACTGGGATATACTTTAACTTTTGAGGCTCTCCATTTCAAGCAATATACCTAATAAATAAATTTGTCAAAAGATGGTGACAGTGGGTAAATCACTTAGCCTCATAAGAGTTGCATTAAACTTCCTCTATCTTTTGGCTCTAGGAGAAAGTTATCCCTAACAAAGGGATCCTCTTCCTGACAATCCTGTTTATTAAATATTTTCCCTAAATTATTACTGGTTACCAAATATTGGAGTTATTGCACCATCATTCCATGCCAAGGTAAATTGTCTAAGATTACTGGCTGTGACACACTTAAGATACTGTTTTTTAATGAATGAATTAGATAATAAACTCCAACTTTGTAGGGTGATTAGTTAGCCTCATCTATGAGGTGCCATACTTGCTGTATAAACTTTCCCTTTCTGTGCCACTATGTTCTGGATCTTTGACTCTTGGCCACTTTCTATGGGAACTACCAATCGGGAATGAATGAACAAATATATATTAAACTTTAAAAAAATACTCCATCTCATTTCATCTTTACAACTTATGAAGAGGAATTATTCCCATTTAGACGAGGAAACCATGAGTCAGCAAGTTAAGTGACTTGCTCAATGACTAGTGGAATGAAGATTTTGCCTCATCATTTTTTTTCCAGTAAATCTCGGCTGCCTGCTGGTGGTAATTTGCATCTTTGCTGGTAAAGAGATCTTAGAGAATGTACTGAGGTAAAAGATATAGAAGTAGAAATATTTTAGAGATAGTTAAAAAACAAAGGAGATGGGGTGGGAAGTAATCAGATAGAGCACATGTGTCAAACACAAGGCCCGCGGGCCAAATCCGTCCCACCAGGCCTTGCAATGTGGCCCGCACCGCGCTGTCATCACTGCACTCCGCTGCGTTTCCATCACAATGACAGTTTATGACTGTTCAGTAAACCATTCGGCCCGTGATTTAGGCTGGATTTTAGATTTTGGCCCCTTCTCTGATTGAGTTCGACACCCCTAAGATAGAGGAATATAAAGCCAGTGATAGCAATCTGATGTTATCCCTGCCCACAGGAGATAGAAGAATTGCTGGACTGCACTGAGTTCCCATTGTAGATTAATGCTTAGGTTTGGGAGATCCTTTGATATCGGAGTTCTTGTCCCAGCATTACAAGGGGTTTTCAGCAATCTGGAGAAAGGAGCTGCGTGTAGATTCAAGAAGGAGTCCAAAGACAAAAGATAGTTTTGAAAGGCATTAGGGGTCAAAGGAGTTTCAGCCAAAGGAGGTAAAGACTTCCCCTTGGCTCAGGACCCAGTGCTTTTTATTAACACAAACTGTCCTAAGGCAAGGTGGAAATAATACACTTCAAAGGGTAGGGTACAGAAGCATTGTCAGATTGGGGAATAGCATATAGCTGTTCAGTTGTTTGGCCAACAGGAGGCAATAACATGCAGCTTAAGATGCCCTGAGTTGTCTGGCAGCAAATGATGATCCTATTCAGGTTTGGGAGAGATGCTTTTTCTGCCGTTGCAACAGGTAAACTACATATGTGGCTCAGCCCTTGTTGAGCCCCCAAGCGTCCCCAACCTTTAGATGAAGCTCTTGAAATTATGACATGCTGGAACTGGTTCCCAGCACTTTGATATTCTCTAGAATGCTCTAAAACCGGGGAGCTGAGGAGTAAACAAGGCTAACATTTATTGAGTCCTTACTACCATGTTTCCCCGAAAATAAGACCTAGCACATGGAAAGATAAGACATCCCCTGAAAATAAGACCTAGCGCAACTTTTGGAGAAAAAATTAATATAAGACATTCTTATTTTCAGGGAAACAGGGTATGTGTAGGCATTATGCTAAGAGCTTCACTTGTGCTACCTCATGGCTAAAACTCCATATTGCCTGTTTTTTATAAGTGAAGAAACTAAGACCTGTAGGTGAAGAGTAACATCCATCATGTCACACATCTGGTCAGTGCAAAGCCACGTTTTTCAAAATCAGGGATGTGATTGGGGATTGCCAGAAACTGGAAGAAGAGGGAATCTAGAGCACCACTGAGTAGGTTGGCTTGGCCTCTTTCTCCTGCTGGTAAGAGATCAAGAAGAGCATGTCTCACAAAGAAGTGGGGAGAAGCATGTGAGCCTGAGCAATAAGACTTCACTGAAACTAGCACCCGAATGTAAAAACCATAGTTGGAGAAGGGGTGCTTTAAATTTAAAACCTCAAAGATGGATCAATTCGAAATGATTATGAGGTCTAAGAAATCTCTTCTTTCAGTCAATGTGTATTCAGCACCTAGTAACAACCAAGCCCACACTGGTGGTCCTGATTCCAAATATGTGTAGTCCAGTGGTTGACTAAGAGTAGGGGCTCTGAAGTCAGACCCTGAGTTAGAACCCCAACTTTGCTTCTCACCAAATGATCTGAATTCTGTTACTTTTCTTCAGTTTACTATGAAGCAAGGATAGTAATACGGTAGGACTTTACTTATAATATGATTATGAGATAATCTCATAGAGCCCTTAACACAATATTTGGCCAGTGGAAGCACTTAATAAAAAAATCAATTACCATAAGTGTGGGAAGGAAACAACAAATCATCAATTTCTTAATTCAAAACTGACAAATGTAAGGAAGGAAAAGCAGGGGTTGGAGCTGGAGCATAACAAGGGGACCTAATTGAGATTGGGAATCAGGTCAGCCTCCCCAGGAAGTGGCATTTAAGTATAAATTAAATGGTGGCTGCAGAGAGAGTGAGTTGGGAAGAACTTCCAAACCTAAGGAACAATAAATGTAGGATCCTGAGCTGCAAATTTTTTTCATATCTTAATGTACATAAGGATATTACTTTCATTTCATTTCTTTCTCTCCCATATCAAACTGTCCTTTCATCCTCATAGTTCAGGGGAGTATTGCTGCTTACAGGCAAAAGATAAATGGCTTTGTTCTGCACTGACCCATAATAAGGAACAACCTAAACAGATGTTACAGCTTCCAGTTTATGTTCCCAACCCATACTGCCCCTCTGCAATATTAAGGCAGAGTCCCTACTTTTGGGAATATAGGATTTTTTTAAATTGAAATATAACTGGCATAGCACATTATGTTTCTGGTGTACAATATAATGATTCGATGTTTGTATATATTGCAAAATGATCACCACAATAAGTCACTTAACACCCATCACCTCATGTAGTAGCAACTTTATTTTGTCTTGTGATGAGAACATGTTTGATCTACTCTCTTAGCAACTTTCAAATATATGATACATATTATTAACTCTAGTCACCACTTCTCTGAATATATAGCATGTTTTAACTTTGACATCCTGGCAACTACCTCCAGAAATAGCCTTTGATGAAGCTGGAAATACACTCTAATGAGTTACTATGGTGGTTACATAAAGTGATACAATAAAATAAGACTCCCCAAAAAAGTCATTACTTTAAAAAGCAAAAGGTTTCTCTTACTCTCAGTTTCATGAGGATTTTAAAATTTTGCTTAGAAGAGTGCAAAATTTTGCACTGATATGATATTGTCTGGCCAGGTTTATCTTGGTTCATGAACAAATTAATACTAATCTATCACTCTGCCTGCCCTTCAACTCCCAAAAAGCAAAGCTGTAAGAGAGGGGATTTCCACATGATGCATGGTTGCGTGAGTCAGCACCTTTTCCTTCTCTGGAAAGCATGAAAAAGCAAGATGAGAATTAAAATTAAAACTCTTTTCCACTTGGAAATTTTATTTTTAAAAGTCTTTTTTAAAAACACTTGGATCAGAAAAGGTAATCTAAACAGCAAATTGTTGAAGAAAAAAATAAGGAAAATATCTCACTTCAGAGTTAAAGGGGAAGCCCATAGTACACATTTCAGAGTAAATTTCTAGTGTAGATACTTGTATTAATATAAGACAAATAATAAAACAAGTAAAATAAACATCTGACTCAAGAGTTCTAAAAATAAACAACAAATCCAATAAAGACAGAAAGAAAAGGTAAAAGAAGATCTGAATGAGACAAAATTTTAAAAGTAGAGTATGTAACCAATTATAAAATCTGATTCCTTGAATAAAATGAAAAAATAAATAACTTACTAAAAAGTAAGAAAACAAGGGAGATATGTCGTTACTAGAAATGGGAAATTATAAAAGGGAAACCGCAGAAGCAGGGGA